GTGATGAAAAATCTCTCCAACCACAATAGGGACAGCAACATAAAACACTTTCTAATAGCTGGAGCTGTTGGTTACAATTTGTGACCTCTCCTGAAAATGCTAGCTGCCTGGCTGTCACATGCTGGTGCTTTAGCTTCCATGCTCTCTAAGCCACTGACCCAGATGCTGTATAGGATTAAGGAATTCTGACACGAAATTCCTGTGCCGGGTCTATGACTAAAAAGTGTTGAAGCTAGAAGCAGCCAGGCACCAGCATTGTAATCCAGGATAACCAAGAGTAATAATCTGGATTACTGAGCAGGTATAGAGAACGATGCCAGTCTAGCGACCCTGCACCATGTACCTGGCTGCTCCAGGGGTACCAGGGACAGGCAGGGCCGGATTTCCCACAAGGCCAACCAAGGCCCGGCCTCGGGGCAGCAGTGAGTAGAGGGGCAGCAGGGGTGTGGAATTCCTATCTCCCGATGCCCGGGACATGCAGTTCCGTGTGCCGAGCGGGTAGTTGTTTTCTACATTTAGCCCTGCTTTGGGCAAGGAGAGCTAAATGTACCGTGGGGACCCGCCGCTTGTTTTGTACAAGTGATCTCAGTGATGACGCCGAGATCACTTGTATGCAGCCTGCATACAGGGGGGCGCATTGTGAAGCCTGGCATTGGGGCAGCAGAGAGAGTAAATCCGGCCCTGGGGACAGGTGGCATGGACCCTGAAGCTGGCAGATAAGTGACATCACGTACCCGGCAATGATAAAACCAGAGACAGCCAAGCAACTAGTATTTTAGAAGGCCAGCAATGGCAGCGTACATATTTTTTACTGACAAGTTTATTAACTCACTGAACAGACATAGAAGAATTGTGCCAGTCCAGAGGCCATGGTACATGGACCTGACTTATTTCCGAGACATGTACCTGGCTGCTCTGTGGGACATGTACCTGGCTGCTCTGTGGGACATGTACCTGGCTGATTTGTAGAACATGTACCTGGCTGCTCTGTGGGACATGTACCTGGCTGCTCCCTGGGGCATGGACCTGACTGCTTTCTGAGACATGTACCTGGCTTCTCTGTGGGACATGTAACTAGCTGCTCCCTGGGACATGGACCTGACTGCTTTCTGAGACATGTACCTGCCTGATTTGTAGAACATGTACCTAGCTGTTCCCTGAGACATGTACCTGACTGCTCTCTGGCACATGTACCTGGCTGCTCTCTGGCACATGTACCTGGCTGCTCTCTGGCACATGTACCTGGCTGCCCTCTGGCACATGTACCTGGCTGCTCTATGAGACATGTACCTGGCTACTCCCTGAGACATGTACCTGGCTGCTCCCTGGGTACCAGTGACAGGTGATACGGTGGATACTGTTGCTAGGTGACATCATGTGTTACAATCTCCTATGATGAGGATACAAGGGACCCCCAGTACACTGTCAATGAGCCCACTGCGCCTGCGCAGACCCGTACATCCCCAGAATATAGATGAAGGGATCCTCCATGATGTATAATCACAGCCATAAACCCCAAATAAAAGCCATGCACTCCCGTTCCTCCCTCCGTGCCCCCCTCAATGCACCCCCAGCCATCCCGTCCCCCCCCTCACCTGAACCCGGCGTGGAACATGTACATTCGGGGCCCCCCGGAGCCGGCGTATTTCGGGGTGGTGAAGAGGTTGTCCTTCTTCAGGGAAACATAGCTGATGAGGGAGAGGATGAGCAGGGCGACACTCAGCATCACCAGACCCAGAACACTGGCCACCCGCACCATCCTGCACACTCTCATCCCTGGCCGCCCCGGACTGGCTCAGCACACACGATCCACCGGATAAGAAGCCGAGATAATCCACATAGAGGGCCGGAGATTAGGAGGAGGATGGAGGGGAGACACGGGGGATGAGAATGGAGGGGTGAGCCGGGGATCAGGAGGGGGGAGTCGGGGGATGAGGATGAGGGGAGAGCCGGGGGATCAGGTGGAGGATGGGGAGGAGAGCCCGGGGATCAGGAGGAGGATGGAGGGGAGAGCCCTGGGGATCAGAATGGAGGGGAGAGCTGCGCACTGGCAGATGGCTGCGATATAGGGTGTGCGGTGCTGTCCGCCCTCATCGTTCTGCCAGGCTCTGAGTCTGGGCGGAGGGGAGGATGGCAGAGCTCATGGCTGCACAGGGCCGAGGCTGGCAGGAAATAGATGGATCAGCTATCCATATGTATGAGGAGACTGTTACCTCCCATACAGGGGATCCCTGTGTCTGCCAGGCTGACAGACTCCACCCTCATATGATCACTTATCACCCATCATACCAGGGGCTCCACCCTCATATGATCACTTATCACCCATCAGGGGCTCCACCCTCATATGATCACTTATCACCCATCATACCAGGGGTTCCACCCTCATATGATCACCTATCACCCATCATACCAGGGGCTCCACCCTCATATGATCACTTATCACCCATCATACCAGGGACTCCACCCTCATATGATCACTTACCACTCACCATACCAGGGGCTACAACCTCATATGATCACTTATCACCCATCAGGGGCTCCACCCTCATATGATCACTTATCACCCATCATACCAGGGGTTCCACCCTCATATGATCACCTATCACCCATCATACCAGGGGCTCCACCCTCATATGATCACTTATCACCCATCATACTAGGGGCTCCACCCTCATATGATCACTTATCACCCATCATACCAGGGGCTCCACCCTCATATGATCACTTACCACTCACCATACCAGGGGCTCCAACCTCATATGATCACTTATCCCCCATCAGGGACTCCACCCTCTCATGATCACATATCACCCATGATACCAGGGGCTCCACCCTCATATGATCACTTATCACCATCATATCAGGGGCTCCACCCTCATATGATCACTTATCACCCATCATACCAGGGACTCCACCCTCATATGATCACTTATCACCCATGATACCAGGGGCTCCACCCTAATATGATCACTTATCACCCATCATACCAGGGGCTCCACCCTCATATGATCACTTATCACCCATCATACCAGGGGCTCCACCCTCATATGATCACTTATCACCCAT